ATTTTAGAAGTATAGAATCCAGAGGATTGCTCATCTTGAAGAGCGTGAAAAGCACTGGGAAACCCAAATTTTTTCTTCAGAGTCATTACCTTTAATAAATAATCAAACTAAGATACACTAGGTTCCATCCAGAAGACAAATCAATTAGAAATGCAAGTCATTGAACTATGCTTGGAGATAGATGAGTCTCCATGAGCTTAGTAAAGACACTTACTCCAGTGGGTGGGTCTACTATCCTACAGTCACTAATAAAATCAGCATGCTGAAAAATCAAACGCACCACACATCCAATATCAACTTTTCATTCCTGTTGAAAACAAATAGAGAACTAATATTTCTCCAATCCAATAAGAACACCATTGTTGCAGGACATGGAAAGTCACATGGCAGCCAGAATAGGATGCACCAAACCAGGAACATGGTGAATAAGCAAATCTATAGTCGTAAACCAAAATTTTTTTCATAGATAACAAAATTGAAATAATCAAGACTACATGTATCTTACAAGTTTAAATAAAAGATATATGTAGAATGATGGTATTTAAAATGGGATAATGAGGAAAAGGTAGAAAAGAAAAAGAAAAAGAAAAAGAAAGAGAAAGAGTAGTAGTGAACAGCTTATGGGTTCAAACAGATCACAGTATAGGTGCCTGATAGATTACCCATAAGATTCACTTATGCAAGGAAGAAGAAGGGAGCAGTTATATCCAACGTGAAGGATGCCAACTTAGCTTTAGTTAGTTGATAGGGGTAAAATAGTCATTGTGCTTTGTAAGGGATGAGTAAATTGTGGGTGGGAGAGGATTGTAGGTAGGCTTTTACTGATTCTTCTGTTAGAAAAGGGGGGGAGAGACCAGGCCTCTCTAATAGCCTTGGAATTTGTCTCTTATTTTCCATCAATTGAATTTCATATACTGTTCCATTCTTCCAGGTTCTTAGTTGATTTATTGCAGAATTCCCAGTGAAGGAGCCACACCTGGAGTCAGAGGATCAGGGGACTTACCATTCTGGTATCAGAGCGGGAATGATGCTTACCTATGTAGCACGAACACTCTAACTAGGGTAGCGTGTCCGTGTCGGATACGTGTCGATACCGACACTCTTCGGACACTCTACAATAATCATTTTTCCTTCTTACTATAACTATTATATATTTTTAACTAAAATTTTTTAATAAATAATAAATAAGTACTCATATTTAAAAGATTTCAGCAAAAAAGAATCAATAATAAGTATAAAACTAAATTTAAACTATATAAATGAAGAATTTTAAAAATTTAATGAACGTGTCAACGACGTGTCGTGTCAGTACTTTTTTTGAAAAATTACGAGTCGACGTATCCGATACGTATCGTGTCGGATACACGTGTCCATGTCGGTGCATCACAGATGCTTACAGACCGTGTGGCATTGTTGGAAACAAGGTTCGATGAGTTGCAAAATGGGATGGGTACAATGAAATTTGAGATACAGCGAGACATGGCTGGATTAATGGAGAAGTTTGATATGGTGATGAAGAAATGGGATGTACGGGAGAGGAATAGAAAGGAGAAGGGAGTTTCGTCCAATCCACCGGTGTTCCCGACAAATTCCGATGAGCTGCAACAGGTTAATGAAACGGGGGAGAACACTGGGAACCTCCTGCGCCATGAGGAAATTGGGAAAATGGACAATCGAGGACGCCGTCTGGAATTGCCTATCTTCAATGGCAATGACCCGGTTGGTTAGATTTTTCGTGTGGAGCAGTAATTCAGCATGAATCAGTTTATCGATTGGGAAAAGATTGAGGCCACTGCCGTCTGTTTTGAGGGTGAGGCTCTAGCCTGGTATCAATGGGAGGTCAACCAGTAGCCGTTGAGAAGTTGGGGAGATTTGAAGCTCTTACTACTCAACAGATTCCGGCCATCACAGGAAGGATCAATTCTGGAAAAGCTCCTGGCATTGAAGCAAGAAGGGACGGTGAGAGAATACCGTTAAATGTTTGAGATCCTCGCTGCACCTCTGCTGGAGATTCCAGAAGCTGTGCTGGAAGGAAATTTCATCAGTGGGTTGAAACCAGCCATAAGAGCTGAAGTGAGAATGATCAGGCCGCAAGGACTGGGCCAAATCATGGAAATGGCCCAATGGGTTGAGGATCGTAACGAGTCCTTAAGGTGAGCCCAGTTATGGAGAGGCCCATTTAAAGCTAAAAATTACAGTAGCCCATCACCAATCAGCCCAATTAATTGGAAGTTATCCCCAATTCAATCGACCCAGTCCATAGCACGAGCACAGCAAGCCCTTACGGTGCCTCCCAAGGCGACTGTGCCCATTACGCAGTGCTCGTCAATGGCAGCAAAGGGTGGGTCCCCTTTCAAGCAACTCACTGATGCAGAATTACAGTCGAAGAGAGAAAAGGGCCTGTGTTATCGTTGCGATGAGAGATATAGCCCGGGACCTTGATGTAGAAACAAGGAACTGTAGCTCTTAGTGGTGTAGGAAGAAGAGAGTGAGGAATTGGGGGAGGAGGTTAACGGGATGGAAGAGGAGGAAATTCGGGACAAGGTAGAATCGTCTATTAAATCTGTGGTGGGTCTTACCGCTCCCAAGATGATGAAGCTTATGGGGGTAATTTAGGGCAGCTTCTTGTTGTCATGATTGATTGTGGAGCTACCCATAATTTCATTTTCGAAGAACTTGTTCGGAAGCTTGGGTTGAGAGTGATAGGTTCGGCCAGTTTCGGTATCCAACTGGGGATTGTATTATCTGTTAAAGGCGAGGGAGTTTGTAAAGGGGTGGTGGTTTCTCTACCAGGAATCGAGGTAGTCGAAAAAATTTTACCACTAAAAGTTGGCTGTACAGATGTAATCCTAGGGATGAAATGGTTGGAGACTCTGGGGAAAATGCAAGTGAACTGGGGAGCCCTAACAATGCGTTTTAAGGCTGGAGGGGAAACCATTGTACTGCAGGGGGACCTGACTTTGGATAAAACGCAAGTGTCCTTAAAATCGATAGTGAAAACTTTCAAGGTAGGAGAACAGGGCATCTTGTTGGAATTAGGAAGTCTGAGAGTAGAGGCTGCGGAGAAGACAGCTGAGGTTCCCAGCCCAATTAGGGAACTACTGCGGAAATATAACAGCATGTTTGAATGGCATAATGAACTTCCTCCTCCACGATTGAGGGATCATGTGATCATTCTACAGCCTGGGGCAAGGCAAGTAAATGTCAAGCCATACCGATATCCGTATGTTCAAAAGAATGAGATAGAGAGGCTAGTCAGAGACATGTTGACAGCAAGAATTATTCAGCCCAGTTTCAGTCCCTATTCCAGTCCTGTCCTTTTGGTGAAGAAGAAAAAGGACGGTAGTTGGAGGTTTTGTGTAGACTACTGGGCCCTTAACAAAGTGATTGTACCAGATCGTTTTTCGATCCAAGTTATTGATGAGTTGTTGGACGAATTACATGGAGCTCAGACATTCTCCAAGTTAGATTTGAAATCAGGGTATCACCAAATTCGGGTTTGGCCAGAGGACATACTAAAGACCGCCTTCTGTACTCATGAAGGGCATTATGAATTCTTGGTCATGCCCTTCGAGCTGAAAAACGCACCGGTGACCTTTCAATATTTTTATGAATGAGGTGTTTAAGCCATATCTACAGAAGTTCATACTAGTCTTTTTCGATGACATCTTGGTTTACAGTCAGTCGATGGAAGAGCATCAACGACATTTGGGGACAGTACTAGGGATTTTGCAAGAACATCAGCTGTATGCCAATCAAAAGAAATGCTTGTTCAGTCAACGGGAAATTGAGTACCTGGGCCATGTTATTTCTGAGAACGGTGTTTCTGCAGATTAGACTAAATTGGAGGCAATGTATAATTGGCTGAGTCCACGCAATCTCAAGGAGCTACGAGGATTTTTGGGGCTCACCGGCTATTATAGACGCTTTGTTTCAGGGTATGCCAAGAGTGCATGGCCCCTTACTGAACTACTGAAGAAAGACAAGTTCTTATGGGACGACAAAGCAGAGGAGGCTTTTCGGAATTTAAAATCAGCCATGGTCCGTATTCCTGTTCTGGCACTTCCGAATTTCTCCCAGGAGTTTGTGATTGAGACAGACGCTTCAGGTCATGGGTTAGGGGCAGTGTTGATGCAGAATAGCCACCCCATTGCATATTTCAGCAAGGTACTTCCCCAGAGCGCCAGGCTAAGGTCAGTTTATGAGAGAGAATTGATAGCCGTCGTGTTCGCCATACAAAATGCCGCCATTACTTACTGGGCAGACACTTCGTGGTACGAACAGACCAACGAAGCTTGACGTTCTTGTTGGAATAGCGTTTGGTAAGCGAGGAGCATCAAAAGTGGTTAACTAAAATCATGGGCTACAACTTTAACATAGAATATCGGCTGAGGTTAGAGAATAAAGCTGCAGATTCTCTTTCCAGAATTCAGCCAGCTTTGAATCTGTTGGCTCTGACCATTTTAAAGTGCTACAATTAGAAGACATCAAGAAGGAAGTTGCTGCTGATAGTATCCTAGGAAAACTAGTTTCTGAACTGCAGAATGGGAACATTGTTTAAGATGGTTATGACTTGATCAACAGCATATTATGTTACAAGGGGAGGGTTGTTCTTCCCAGCCATTCCAATTTTGTCACTCTTAAGTTACAAGAATGCCATGACTCTAAGATTGGAGGACACTCCGAATTTCTTAAGACATATAAGAGGATTGCGAGAGAGGTCTATCGGCAAGGGATGAAGAAGAGAGTAAAGGACTATGTGGCAAGTTGTGGGGTATGTCGGCAGAATAAATATATGGCTTTATCTCCTGGGGGGCTATTGCTTCCTCTACCGATTCCCGACTCCATTTGGGAGGATATCTCCATGGATTTCAACGAAGGACTGCCACGATCGAGGGAAGTTGACACCATTCTGGTTGTAGTGGATCGTCTAAGTAAGCATAGTCATTTCATCGGGTTAAAGCACCCTTTCACTGCCCCCTAAGTTGCTAAGGAATTCAGTCGAGAGATAGTTCGTTTGCATGGCTTTCCTCGCTCTATCGTATCGGATAGAGATCGGATCTTTATAAGTACATTCTGGACGGAATTATTTAAAGCACAGGGGACTCCCCTGGCTCACAGCACAGCCTACCATCCACAAACGGATGGGCAAACGGAAGTCTTGAACAGATGCTTGGAGACATACTTGGGGTGTTTTGCTTCAAATAGGCCTCAAGTTTGGAATTAGTTCTTGCATTGGGCGGAGTACTGGTATAGCACTTCCTTCCATACTGCAATGAGACATTCTCCCTTTCAAATAGTATATGGCCGTGATCCTCCCCACCTATTGCCTCTTGAAAGAAGACTGACACCTTGTTCTTCTGTGGAACAACTTTTGTTGGAACGAGGTGAAATGTTGACTGAGTTGAAGGTGCACCTTTTTAAAGCATAGCAGCGCATGAAACAGGAGGCTGACAAGCACCGTCTTGATGTCCAGTTTGAAGTTGGGGAACTAGTTTACCTCAAACTTCGGCCTTATCGTCAGAAATCCTTGGCTAAGCGCCTAAATGAGAAGTTGTCCCCCCGTTACTATGGCCCCTTTGAGATTGAATCGAAAGTGGGAAGGGTAACATACAAGCTTAAACTCCCTACCTCATCAGCTATTCATTCCGTGTTCCATCTATCCCAGTTACATAAGGCCATTGGTAGTGTTAAGCCCATTTCCGCCTTCCCTCCACAACTCTCGGCTACAGGGGAATTCATCTTGGAGCTAGAAATAGTTTTGGGAGTTCGCCCTAATGCTGGCCACACTACTGCAAGTCTGGACATTTGATCAAGTGGAAGAATCTTCCAGGCTACGAGGGTAGATAACAAAATTGAAATAATCAAGACTACATGTATCTTACAAGTTTAAATAAAAGATATATGTAGAATGATGGTATTTAAAACGGGATACTGAGGAAAAGGTAGAAAAGAAAAAGAAAAAGAAAGGGAAAGAGTAGTAGTGAACAGCTTATGGGTTCAAACAGATCACAGTATAGGTGCCTGATAGATCACCCATAAGATTCACTTATGCAAGGAAGAAGAAGGGAGCAGTTATATCCAACGTGAAGGATGCCAACTTAGCTTTAGTTAGTTGATAGGGGTAAAATAGTCATTGTGCTTTGTAAGGGAATGAATAAATTGTGGGTGGGAGAGGATTGTAGGTAGGCTTTTACTGATTCTTCTGTTAGAAAAGGGGGGAGAGACCAGGCCTCTCTAATAGCCTTGGAATTTGTCTCTTATTTTCCATCAATTGAATTTCATATACTGTTCTATTCTTCCAGGTTCTTAGTTGATTTATTGCAGAATTCCCAGTGAAGGAGCCACACCTGGAGTCAGAGGATCAGGGGACTTACCATTCTGGTATCAGAGCGGGAATGATGCTTACAGACCGTGTGGCATTGTTGGAAACAAGGTTCGATGAGTTGCAAGATGGGATGGGTACAATGAAATTTGAGATACAGCGAGACATGGCTGGATTAATGGAGAAGTTTGATATGGTGATGAAGAAATGGGATGTACAGGAGAGGGATAGAAAGGAGAAGGGAGTTTCGTCCAATCCACCGGTGTTCCCGACAAATTCCGATGAGCTGCAACAGGTTAATGAAATGGGGGAGAACACTGGGAACCTCCTGCGCCATGAGGAAATTGGGAAAATGGACAATCGAGGACGCCGTCTGGAATTGCCTATCATCAACGGCAATGACCCGGATGGTTAGATTTTTCGTGCGGAGCGATAATTCAGCATGAATCAGTTTATCGATTGGGAGAAGATTGAGGCCACTGCCGTCTGTTTTGAAGGTGAGGCTCTAGCCTGGTATCAATGGGAGGTCAGCCAGTAGCCGTTGAGAAGTTGGGGAGATTTGAAGCTCTTACTACTCAACAGATTCCGGCCATCACAGGAAGGATCAATTCTGGAAAAGCTCCTGGCGTTGAAGCAAGAAGGGACGGTGAGAGAATACCGTTAAATGTTTGAGATCCTCGCTGCACCTCTGCTGGAGATTCCAGAAGCTGTGCTGGAAGGAAATTTCATCAGTGGGTTGAAACCGGCCATAAGAGCTGAAGTGAGAATGATCAGGCCGAAAGGACTGGGCCAAATCACGGAAATGGCCCAACGGGTTGAGGATCATAACGAGTCCTTAAGGTGAGCCCAGTTATGGAGAGGCCCGTTTAAAGCTAAAAATTATAGTAGCCCATCACCAATCAGCCCAATTAACCGGAATTTATCCCCAATTCAATCGACCCAGTCCATAGCACGAGCACAGCAAGCCCTTACGGTACCTCCCAAGGCGACTGTGCCCATTACGCAGCGCTCGTCAATGGCAGCAAAGGGTGGGTCCCCTTTCAAGCAACTCAGTGATGCGGAATTACGGTCGAAGAGAGAAAAGGGGCTGTGTTATCGTTGCGATGAGAGGTATAGCCCGAGACCTTGATGTAGAAACATGGAACTGTAGATCTTAGTGGTGCAGGAAGAAGACAGTGAGGAATTGGGGGAGGAGGTTAACGGGATGGAAGAGGAGGAAATTCGGGACAAGGTAGAATCGTCTATTAAATCTGTGGTGGGTCTTACCGCTCCCAAGACGATGAAGCTTATGGGGGTAATTTAGGGCAGCTTCTTGTTGTCGTGATTGACTGTGGAGCTACACATAATTTCATTTCCGAAGAACTTGTTCGGAAGCTTGGGTTGAGAATGATAGGTTCGGCCAGTTTCGGTATCCAACTGGGGATTGTATTATTTGTTAAAGGCGAGGGAGTTTGTAAAGGGGTGGTGGTTTCTCTGCTAGGAATCGAGGTAGTCGAAAAAATTTTACCACTAAAACTTGGCTCTACAGATGTAATCCTAGGGATGAAATGGTTGGAGACTCTGGGGAAAATGCAAGTGAACTGGGGAGCCCTAACAATGCGTTTTAAGGCTGGAGGGGAAACTATTGTACTGCAGGGGGACCCGACTTTAGATAAAACGCAAGTGTCCTTAAAATCGATGGTGAAAACTTTCAAGGTAGGAGAACAGGGCATCTTGCTGGAATTAGGAAGTCTGAGAGTAGAGACTGCGGAGAAGACAGCTGAGGTTCCCAGCCCAATTAGGGAACTACTGCGGAAATATAAGAGCGTGTTTGAATGGCATAATGAACTTCCTCCTCCACGATTGAGGGATCAAGTGATCATTCTACAGCCTGGGGCAAGGCAAGTAAATGTCAGGCCATACCGATATCCGTATGTTCAAAAGAATGAGATAGAGAGGCTAGTCAGAGACATGTTGACAGCAAGAATTATTCAGCCCAGTTTCAGTCCCTATTCTAGTCCTGTCCTTTTGGTGAAGAAAAAGGACGGTAGTTGGAGGTTTTGTGTAGACTACTGGGCTCTTAACAAAGTGATTGTACCCGATCGTTTTTCGATCCAAGTTATTGATGAGTTGTTGGACGAATTACATGGAGCTCAGGCATTCTCCAAGTTAGATTTGAAATTAGGGTATCACCAAATTCGGGTTTGGCCAGAGGACATACCAAAGACCGCCTTCCGTACTCATGAAGGGCATTATGAATTCTTGGTCATGCCCTTCGAGCTGAAAAACGCACCGATGACCTTTCAGTATTTGATGAATGAGGTGTTTAAACCATATCTACGGAAGTTCGTACTAGTCTTTTTCAATGACATCTTGGTTTACAGTCAGTCGATGGAAGAGCATCAACGACATTTGGGGACAGTACTGGGGATTTTGCAAGAACATCAGCTGTATGCCAATGAGAAGAAATGCTTGTTCAGTCAACGGGAAATTGAGTACCCGGGCCATGTTATTTCTGAGAACGGTGTTTCTGCAGATTAGACTAAATTGGAGGCAATGTATAATTGGCCGAGTCCACGCAATCTCAAGGAGCTTCGAGGATTTTTGGGGCTCACCGGCTATTATAGATGCTTTGTTTCAGGGTATGCCAAGAGTGCATGGCCCCTTACTGAACTACTGAAGAAAGACAAGTTCTTATGGGATGACAAAGCGGAGGAGGCTTTTCAGAATTTAAAATCAGCCATGGTCTGTATTCCTGTTCTGGCACTTTCGGATTTCTCCCAGGAGTTTGTGATTGAGACAAACACTTCAGGTCATGGGTTAGGGGCAGTGTTGATGCAGAATAGCCACCCCATTGCATATTTCAGCAAGGTACTTCCCTAGAGCACCAGGCTAAGGTTAGTTTATGAGAGAGAATTGATGGCCGTCGTGTTCGCCATACAAAATGCCGCCATTACTTACTGGGCAGACACTTCGTGGTACGAACAGACCAACAAAGCTTGACGTTCTTGTTGGAATAGCGTTTGGTAAGCGAGGAGCATCAAAAGTGGTTAACTAAAATCATGGGCTACAACTTTAACATAGAATATCGGCTGGGGTTAGAGAATAAAGCTGCAGATTCTCTTTCCAGAATTCAGCCAGCTTTGAATCTGTTGGCTCTGACCATTTTAAAGTGCTACAATTAGAAGACATCAAGAAGGAAGTTGCTGCTGATAGTATCCTAGGGAAACTAGTTTCTGAACTGCAGAATGGGAACATTGTTTAAGATGGTTATGACTTGATCAACAGCATATTATGTTACAAGGGGAGGGTTGTTCTTCCCAGCCATTCCAATTTTGTCACCCTTAAGTTACAAGAATGCCATGAATCTAAGATTGGAGGACACTCCGAATTTCTTAAGACATATAAGAGGATTGCGAGAGAGGTCTATCGGCAAGGGATGAAGAAGAGAGTAAAGGACTATGTGGCAGGTTGTGGGGTATGTCGGCAGAATAAATATATGGCTTTATCTCCTGGGGGGCTATTGCTTCCTCTACCGATTCCCGACTCCATTTGGGAGGATATCTCCATGGATTTCAACGAAGGACAGCCACGATCGAGGGAAGTTGACATCATTCTGGTTGTAGTGGATCGTCTAAGTAAGCAGAGCCATTTCATCGGGTTAAAGCACCCTTTCACTGCCCCCTAAGTTGCTGAGGAATTCAGTCAAGAGATAGTTCGTTTGCATGGCTTTCCTCGCTCTATCGTATCGGATAGAGATCGGATCTTTATAAGTACATTCTGGACGGAATTATTTAAAGCTCAGGGGACTCCCCTGGCTCACAGCACAGCCTACCATCCACAAACGGATGGGCAAACGGAAGTCTTGAACAGATGCTTGGAGACATACTTGGGGTGTTTTGCTTCAAATAGGCCTCAAGTTTGGAATTAGCTCTTGCATTAGGCGGAGTACTGGTATAACACTTAACTTTTGTTGGAACGAGATGAAATGTTGACTGAGTTGAAGGTGCACCTTTTTAAAGCACAGCAGCGCATGAAACAGGAGGCTGACAAGCACCGTCGTGATGTCCAGTTTGAAGTTTGGGAACTAGTTTACCTCAAACTTCGGCCTTATCGTCAGAAATCCTTGGCTAAGCGCCTAAATGAGAAGTTGTCCCCCCGTTACTATGGCCCCTTTAAGATTGAATCGAAAGTGGGAAGGGTAACATACAAGCTTAAACTCCCTGCCTCATCAGCTATTCATTCCGTGTTCCATCTATCCCAGTTACGTAAGGCCATTAGTAGTGTTAAGCCCATTTCTGCCTTTCCTCCACAACTCTCGGCTACAGGGGAATTCATCTTGGAGCCAGAAATAATTTTGGGAGTTCGCCCTAATGCTGGCCACACTGCTGCAAGTCTGGACATTTGATCAAGTGGAAGAATCTTCCAGGCTACGAGGCTCATACCCTGGGAAGGAATGTAGGATTCACAGGAAGAATGGCAGTTTTTGAAGGCAAGACTTTAACAGGAGAGAAACCCAACAGTGTCCCACAAAGGCTAAGAGCTGCTCTAGCAGAATCTGTAAATGTTAAATCCACATGGAGAAAGTTAGAAAAGTTGGCAATGCTAGAAGAAAAAAAGGAAAAAACCTGACTTACACTCATCAGCAAATTCTACAAAAGCAAAGCGATGACGGGAGTGTGGATCGCCACAAACTCGACAATCAACAACCTGCAAAGCAGAGACAGAAAGAGAAAATTAGTCAGAGATATCATTTTGATATGCCATAACAAATTTGTAATCCCAACCAGTAACACAAAATTTTGGTCAAGAAGAGATTGAGAAGGTTGGTGCATCATCAGGTGGGAGAAAAATGTCAACCTATGGAATAGAATACAAAATCAATGCCTATACCTCACGAAATAAAGCACGTGAATATTCTGTACAAAACTCTTTAAAGAATTTTCTTCTCTGGTTCTAAAACAAAAAAGGTTCTGATCATGGATTAAAACATTTAGCATATGATTTTTTTTTCTGCGATCAATTTTAGAAGTATAGAATCCAGAGGATTGCTCATCTTGAAGAGCGTGAAAAGCACTGGGAAACCCAAATTTTTTCTTCAGAGTCATTACCTTTAATAAATAATCAAACTAAGATACACTAGGTTCCATCCAGAAGACAAATCAATTAGAAATGCAAGTCATTGAACTATGCTTGGAGATAGATGAGTCTCCATGAGCTTAGTAAAGACACTTACTCCAGTGGGTGGGTCTACTATCCTACAGTCACTAATAAAATCAGCATGCTGAAAAATCAAACGCACCACACATCCAATATCAACTTTTCATTCCTGTTGAAAACAAATAGAGAACTAATATTTCTCCAATCCAATAAGAACACCATTGTTGCAGGACATGGAAAGTCACATGGCAGCCAGAATAGGATGCACCAAACCAGGAACATGGTGAATAAGCAAATCTATAGTCGTAAACCAAAATTTTTTCTACCCATAATTTCATTTTCGAAGAACTTGTTCGGAAGCTTGGGTTGAGAATGATAGGTTCGGCCAGTTTCGGTATCCAACTGGGGATTGTATTATTTGTTAAAGGCGAGGGAGTTTGTAAAGGGGTGGTGGTTTCTCTGCTAGGAATCGAGGTAGTCGAAAAAATTTTACCACTAAAACTTGGCTCTACAGATGTAATCCTAGGGATGAAATGGTTGGAGACTCTGGGGAAAATGCAAGTGAACTGGGGAGCCCTAACAATGCGTTTTAAGGCTGGAGGGGAAACTATTGTACTGCAGGGGGACCCGACTTTAGATAAAACGCAAGTGTCCTTAAAATCGATGGTGAAAACTTTCAAGGTAGGAGAACAGGGCATCTTGTTGGAATTAGGAAGTCTGAGAGTAGAGGCTGCGGAGAAGACAGCTGAGGTTCCCAGCCCAATTAGGGAACTACTGCGGAAATATAAGAGCGTGTTTGAATGGCATAATGAACTTCCTCCTCCACGATTGAGGGATCATGTGATCATTCTACAGCCTGGGGCAAGGCAAGTAAATGTCAGGCCATACCGATATCCGTATGTTCAAAAGAATGAGATAGAGAGGCTAGTCAGAGACATGTTGACAGCAAGAATTATTCAGCCCAGTTTCAGTCCCTATTCTAGTCCTGTCCTTTTGGTGAAGAAAAAGGACGGTAGTTGGAGGTTTTGTGTAGACTACTGGGCTCTTAACAAAGTGATTGTACCCGATCGTTTTTCGATCCAAGTTATTGATGAGTTGTTGGACGAATTACATGGAGCTCAGACATTCTCCAAGTTAGATTTGAAATCAGGGTATCACCAAATTCGGGTTCGGCTGGAGGACATACCAAATACCGCCTTCCGTACTCATGAAGGACATTATGAATTCTTGGTAATGCCCTTCGGGCTGACAAACGCACTAACAACCTTTCAGTATTTGATGAATGAGGTGTTTAAACCATATCTACGGAAGTTCGTACTAGTCTTTTTCAATGACATCTTGGTTTACAGTCAGTCGATGGAAGAGCATCAACGACATTTGGGGACAGTACTGGGGATTTTGCAAGAACATCAGCTGTATGCCAATGAGAAGAAATGCTTGTTCAGTCAACGGGAAATTGAGTACCCGGGCCATGTTATTTCTGAGAACGGTGTTTCTGCAGATTAGACTAAATTGGAGGCAATGTATAATTGGCCGAGTCCACGCAATCTCAAGGAGCTTCGAGGATTTTTGGGGCTCACCGGCTATTATAGATGCTTTGTTTCAGGGTATGCCAAGAGTGCATGGCCCCTTACTGAACTACTGAAGAAAGACAAGTTCTTATGGGATGACAAAGCGGAGGAGGCTTTTCAGAATTTAAAATCAGCCATGGTCTGTATTCCTGTTCTGGCACTTTCGGATTTCTCCCAGGAGTTTGTGATTGAGACAAACACTTCAGGTCATGGGTTAGGGGCAGTGTTGATGCAGAATAGCCACCCCATTGCATATTTCAGCAAGGTACTTCCCTAGAGCACCAGGCTAAGGTTAGTTTATGAGAGAGAATTGATGGCCGTCGTGTTCGCCATACAAAATGCCGCCATTACTTACTGGGCAGACACTTCGTGGTACGAACAGACCAACAAAGCTTGACGTTCTTGTTGGAATAGCGTTTGGTAAGCGAGGAGCATCAAAAGTGGTTAACTAAAATCATGGGCTACAACTTTAACATAGAATATCGGCTGGGGTTAGAGAATAAAGCTGCAGATTCTCTTTCCAGAATTCAGCCAGCTTTGAATCTGTTGGCTCTGACCATTTTAAAGTGCTACAATTAGAAGACATCAAGAAGGAAGTTGCTGCTGATAGTATCCTAGGGAAACTAGTTTCTGAACTGCAGAATGGGAACATTGTTTAAGATGGTTATGACTTGATCAACAGCATATTATGTTACAAGGGGAGGGTTGTTCTTCCCAGCCATTCCAATTTTGTCACTCTTAAGTTACAAGAATGCCATGACTCTAAGATTGGAGGACACTCCGAATTTCTTAAGACATATAAGAGGATTGCGAGAGAGGTCTATCGGCAAGGGATGAAGAAGAGAGTAAAGGACTATGTGGCAAGTTGTGGGGTATGTCGGCAGAATAAATATATGGCTTTATCTCCTGGGGGGCTATTGCTTCCTCTACCGATTCCCGACTCCATTTGGGAGGATATCTCCATGGATTTCAACGAAGGACTGCCACGATCGAGGGAAGTTGACACCATTCTGGTTGTAGTGGATCGTCTAAGTAAGCATAGTCATTTCATCGGGTTAAAGCACCCTTTCACTGCCCCCTAAGTTGCTGAGGAATTCAGTCAAGAGATAGTTCGTTTGCATGGCTTTCCTCGCTCTATCGTATCGGATAGAGATCGGATCTTTATAAGTACATTCTGGACGGAATTATTTAAAGCACAGGGGACTCCCCTGGCTCACAGCACAGCCTACCATCCACAAACGGATGGGCAAACGGAAGTCTTGAACAGATGCTTGGAGACATACTTGGGGTGTTTTGCTTCAAATAGGCCTCAAGTTTGGAATTAGTTCTTGCATTGGGCGGAGTACTGGTATAGCACTTCCTTCCATACTGCAATGAGACATTCTCCCTTTCAAATAGTATATGGCCGTGATCCTCCCCACCTATTGCCTCTTGAAAGAAGACTGACACCTTGTTCTTCTGTGGAACAACTTTTGTTGGAACGAGGTGAAATGTTGACTGAGTTGAAGGTGCACCTTTTTAAAGCACAGCAGCGCATGAAACAGGAGGCTGACAAGCACCGTCGTGATGTCCAGTTTGAAGTTTGGGAACTAGTTTACCTCAAACTTCGGCCTTATCGTCAGAAATCCTTGGCTAAGCGCCTAAATGAGAAGTTGTCCCCCCGTTACTATGGCCCCTTTGAGATTGAATCGAAAGTGGGAAGGGTAACATACAAGCTTAAACTCCCTACCTCATCAGCTATTCATTCCGTGTTCCATCTATCCCAGTTACATAAGGCCATTGGTAGTGTTAAGCCCATTTCCGCCTTCCCTCCACAACTCTCGGCTACAGGGGAATTCATCTTGGAGCTAGAAATAGTTTTGGGAGTTCGCCCTAATGCTGGCCACACTACTGCAAGTCTGGACATTTGATCAAGTGGAAGAATCTTCCAGGCTACGAGGGTACTTGGGAACCTTTTGAGACAATTCGGGTGTAGTTCCTTACCTTCCACCTTGAGGACAAGGTGGATTTTGGGGCAGCGGGTACTGATAGATCAACCATAAGATTCACTTATGCAAGGAAGAAGAAGGGAACAGTTATATCCAACGGGAAGGATGCCAACTCAGCTTTAGTTAGTTGATAGGGGTAAAATAGGTACTTGGGAACCTTTTGAGACAATTCGGGTGTAGTTCCTTACCTTCCACCTTGAGGACAAGGTGGATTTTGGGGCAGCGGGTACTGATAGATCAACCATAAGATTCACTTATGCAAGGAAGAAGAAGGGAACAGTTATATCCAACGGGAAGGATGCCAACTCAGCTTCAGTTAGTTGATAGGGGTAAAATAGTCATTGTACTTTGTAAGGGAATGAATAAATTGTGGGCGGGAGAGGATTGCTGGTAGGCTTTTACCGATTCTTCTGTTAGAAAAGGGGGGGGGGGGG